TATGTAAAGAATCGTTGGTGCGATACTGGCCTGTGTTGGTGCAAAGAGCACCTCATGTGTTGTGGCGTATGTGGCGGCAGATATGTGGAGAATCGTTGGTGCGATTCTGGCATATGTGACGGCAGATATGTAAAGAATCGTTGGTGCGATTCTGGTCTGTGCTGGTGCACAGATTTCAATGAAAGTTTCACGAGTTGAGTATTCATTGCTTATGAATTATGGTAAAGAGTAACAAAATTGTCAGAATTGCTGTGTTGGAACTTGTTGATCGGGCCTTTCACAATAAATCATGTAGTGCAGGAAGCACTGTGTAAGAAGCCCTAATAATAGGGCTTTGTCAATCATGGCAGTTGATTACTGTACTTAGATTTAGGAGAAATAAAGTACCATCTGGAATCAACCTCGTTTTCGTTGGCAGGATAGCCGAGCTAAGTTATTCTCTGAGCATATTTTGTCCACAGGCACTGCACCCGAGGACGGGTGCTAGTCAGGGATGGCCGTGTCGTGGATTGATGGCGCCATAGTGCTACAAGCAGCGCCATCTAACAATTAGCTTTGCGAATCAATAATATCGTTACCGGAAACGCAAGCGCGCCCTACCGCTTGGACACGATCGTCGGTAGAGGGGATGCAGCGAGGGCTAGAGAAGGGACCGAGTGTTGTGGCAGTTGAGTTCGGACAGCCGGAGCGGACGCTCGCTACCGACGCACGCGTTTGTTTCTCGTGTACAACCACTAGTCTAAATAAAGTTATTTTTGATTTAAATCATCTTTCGTTCGTGTGCCCACATTTACATAAAACCATGTCGGAGCGTGAAGAAAACACCTTTGACGCGACATATATATATATATATATATATATATATATATATATATATATATATATATATATGAAAAGGAACCAGACAAACGTTAACTAAGAAACAGAAGGGGGGAATCGAGGCTTCTCTCGATCCGGCCTCCTATAACGCCTACGTTGGGTTCGGGAACAACGTATGTGATCTCCGCAACGGAGTAACACACAAGGGCGATAACCTCTTTCTTTTCAGAAAATAGGTTCAGGCGGGGATTACGGGGCTTCCGAAGTCGTCCCGGTCCCAACGCCTTAATTTTTCGATATGGACTGTAAGGGGAGAATTAAAAAACACTTTAAGGGGAGAATTCCTTGGGAATAAAACAGCAATTATCTTCAAACCGTTCCGTGAGAGAGTAATTACTTTTCCCTATCACTTCCCTATACTTTTTCTTTCTTCTTCTTATTGACTGCTGGTCTTGCACTTTTCCCGAACAATTTGCAACGTTGTTCGTCGTCTTCATGCACCTAGGTACATGTAGGTATCGGGCCTCGGGGTAAACCCCATTACCCGGATATCCTCATGCCCCATAACTATGGGGCAGTCATTTTAGCCTATTCTTGGCATGGATAGTGCTACGTTTTATAACGTAGCCGGATAAGAATTTTTTCCCGTAGTTCACCGACTACGGGAAAAGGAGGTTCTCTATGGAGGGGGATGGTTATCTAAGTGGTCTAAGTTGGCCTTTCAGCGGCATTGGGGGTTGTTACTCGACTCTCTAATCGATATAGAGAGGAGTTCTCTTGGAAGAGGTCGTCCATCCGGGGGCCGAGTATGCAACGGTGCAAAACCGTTGAGATGGTCATGTGGCCCGTTATCGGCACGGTCGAACATGCCGCGCGCTAGCCGGGCCACGAAGTCGGTGATGGTCTCGGCTTTCAGATCGGCCGCTATGACGTTATTCCGGACGTAACGACCTGCTCCGACAATCGTCCTTAATGCCAGGTTCTGCTGAGCCTGTAGTCGCCGCCTCAGAGGGTCGCTCAGAAGCGCGTACCAGGCCGGAGCAGCGTAGGTGGTAATGGTCCGGATATACATCTTGTATATCTGGAGCTTGGTCTTTATTGGCAGCTTGGATGCCAGGATCGGACGAAGCATCGCCCGCGCACATCTAGCTTTGCGGATGACGAAGTCGACGTGCGCAGTCATGCGCAGCGCCCGGTCGATCCGGCACCCGAGGTATGTCACGGCCTTCTCGTACGCGATAACGATTTGCAAGAACGTTGATGTCTTCTTCATGTGTCTTGTTAGGGCACATGGAGGTTTCGGGCCTCGGGGTAAGCCCCCATTACCCGTGCTGTCCTCGCGGTCCACTACTATGGACCGGTCCTGGGAGCCTTCTAATGGCGTTGTAGGTGTTAAAACGGATTGTCGGTATCGGTAATTTTTTCGTAGCCGGTTATGACTACGAAAAAAGGAGGTTATCTAGTATGAGGTCGGGGTTGGCCTTTCAGCGGCATTGAGGGTTGTTACTCGACTCTCTAATCGATATAGAGAGGAGTTCTCTTGGATAGGGTCGCCCGTCCGGAGGGCGAGTGTGTAGCGGCGCAAAGTTGTTTAGGTGTCTGTGCGGCCCGTTGTCTGCACGGTCGAACAGTCCGCGCGCCAACCGTTCCATAAATTCCTGGATGGTGTCAATTTTCAGGTTGGCCGCTATGACGTCATTCCGGACGTAGCGACCCGCACCGACGATGGTTCTTAACGCCATATTTTGCTGGGCCTGCAGTCGCCGCCTCAGAGGCTCGCTCAGAAGCGCGTACCAGGCCGGAGCAGCATAGGTGATAATGGCTCTGATGTAGGTTTTATATACTCGCACTTTGGTGTTAAGTGGTAGCTTGGATGCCAGGACCGGACGTAGCATCGCCCGCGCACATCGTGCTCTACGGACGACGAGGTCGACGTGCGCAGTCATGCGCAGCGCCCGGTCGATCCGGCAAGCAAAGTAGGTCACTGCCTTCTCGTACGCGATCTGCTGGCCATTGAGGGTTAATTGAGGTGGTAGGTTCCTGAGGCGGCGAGTGAGCAGAGCGGTCGTCTTACCAACGTTGACGACCATCCTCCACTCATCTAGCCATGGTAGCAACAGGTCCAGGAGGCGTTGCATCCTGGCGGCGGCAATATGGGCTCTTCTGGAAGAGGTGAAATAAGCGCTATCGTCCGCGTATAACGCCAATTCCACGTCGTCCTCCCATTCTTGCAGCCTGCCTGCCAGGGTAGGGATGTCGTTGGTATAAGCCGCGTACAGGACTGGAGACAAACAGCTGCCCTGAGGAACGCCGGCTCTGATGGTTCTGGTTGCGGACTCGGCGCCCTCTACGCAGACGTAGAACTTCCTGTCTGCCAGGAAAGACGCCACTAGCCGCAACATAGCAGGAGGGACACTGGTCTGTTCTTCCAATTTAAAAAGTAATCCAGAATGCCACACCCTGTCGAACGCCTTCTCGATATCGAGAAAGACGCCCAACGTAGTGCGGCCACGGTTGTAATCGGCCGCAAGCAGGTGCAGGACTCTGGTCAGCTGTGTTGCTGTAGAGTGACCCCTCCTGAATCCGTGCTGCTCCGCCCGAAGTTGTATGCACGGGCGGAGGCGTCTTAGCAACAATCTTTCAAGCAGTTTAGCTATGTGTGGTAGCAGCGTGATCGGCCTGTAGCTGGCAGCTCTACGCCTGTCCTTCCCGGGTTTCGGCAAGAAGATTACTTTGCCTTTCTTCCAGTCCTCCGGGAAGTGGGATGTCCGCAGTATCCCATTGTAGAGTCGACCAAGCTCTACTAGGACTCTATGGGGCAGCTGTCGGAGTGCAGCGTTGGTAATCCCGTCGTGCCCCGGCGCCTTCCTCGGTTGCAGGCGGGTTGCTGTCCACCGCAGTTCAGCGGGGGAGATGAACCACTCTCCTGCAAGAGGCGGCGCGGGCGACGACAGGAACTCCTGTACGCGACTCTCCTTTCGGGCATGAAGCTCCAAGAACTCCGCACTTGCTGGGTTCGGCAAAAATTGCTCCTCGAAGTGCTCGACTAGGATATCCGCTCTACCCTTGGCATCGTAACGACGTTCGCCCGCGTTGTTGGTCAGCGGGCAAACGGGAGGTTTGGCTTTAGTTAACTGTCGGTTCAGTTTGTAGAGCAACGCATCGTGCTCGCCGCCCCAGGCATCTCCTCTGTGTGCCTGGACTGCAACCGACAGTTCCTCCGACAAGGTTTTCAGTTTCGTTTTGATTCTCGGGCAGCGAGTACGCGCCCAGAGTCTCCTTAGGGCCCTTTTTCTCTTGATCTGCACGCAGATGTGACGCGGCAGATCATCCCTTCTGGTGGACATCGGGACGATCGTAGAGGCAGCGTTGAGGGCCTCTTGTATTGCCTTTGTCATATTTGCGGCTGCGGCCTCTACGTCGTCCGCTTTGTTTAAGGGGTGGTGTGCTGGAGGTCTCTCCTGTAGGTGTTTGTGGTAGAGCCTCCAGTCGACACGTGTCTTCACTGTTTTGGGCGGCGTAGTCACCGCCTTTAGGCCAAGGGTAATTAAGATCGGGAGGTGCTGTGAATCCAGGTCGTACAGCACCTCTACCACTATCGGGTAGTTGATGTTCCTAGCGAGCACGATGTCCAGTACATCCGGACGACTTCGTGGATCCGTCGGAACGTGTGTAGGTTCTTCGGGACCTAAAACGTCGTAGCCGTGTCTTTCGGCGTCTTCAAATAGCGCATGACCCGGCGGGTTGATCAGTCTAGATCCCCACGCCGGGTGTTTGGCGTTTAGGTCCCCGGCGATGTGCCTTTACCGTCCGGACGTCTGAGGAGCAAAATGGAGTCCCTGGCGGGCGGTATGCTGCGTAGATCCTAAGTTCCTCGCCCGCCGCCTCCATTTTTATGCCGATAGAGCGCATAGTCTGGTATTCCGGTAGGTCTAGTTCTTGATGGACGATGTCCCTTCTCACTAGGACCGCTGTCCCTCTGTAAGCGGCCCCTTGAGAAGTGACCTCGTCCCTCCTATACAGATGGTAATTGGGCAGCTTTATGCGTGTGCTCGGATTAAGTTTTTTCTCGTCTCGTCGTCTCTCCCAGCAAGATGACCTGTACGTCTTGTTGTTGGGCGACGGTGCGGAGTTCTTGTAGCTTCTGCTGGATTCCTGGGTTCCGGTAGAGGAGGCGCAGGTTAGACTCCTCCACCGTAGTGCCGAGCCAGTAGATTAGCCAGCGCCTTCATAACCGCTGTAATCGGGTCTGTCCCGGCTCTAATATCAGCCAGGACTTGACTGCCGACCTCGATTGCTATGCCAACCAAACGTTGGATGGCGTCAGCAGTCTCGAAGCCGGCTAGAGGTGTTCTAGGTGTGTGTGCGGTAGGCGCTGGTCTCGGGAGTTGGTGTACGTTTCTCTGTTTATGGGTAGAGCGCGCTCTATGTGTAGAGCGGGCTCTATTTTCTGGTAGAGCCCTTTCTGGCACTCTACCCATTCTGGCTTTGTCTTCCATGGTAACCTGCGCCTGGGCTATCGTTACCGTTGGGGTTGGGGTAGAGGTTGCTGCCTGAGGAGGAGGCTGCACCTTCTTCTTCTTCTTCCTCCCCCGCTTACTCCTCTGAGAGGTTTGGCGCTCTATGGCGTCATTAGCGGGGGGCTGGAGAGTCGCCCCGGTGGTTGCCTTTGATGTAGTGATGGTGGGCACCACCGTTTCTGTGGGTGCCGTGACGGGTGGAGGGGGGGCAGGTTGCCTTCCTTTTCCCCTGATTGTGGTCCACCCGTCTTCCTGAACCACGGCCCTGGGACGACTTTGGGAGATCCTCTTGGGCTCCTCTGGGAGTAGTCCCGGTAGAGTGATCCCCGCTTCCTTGCAATCCTCCTCAGGACTGGGCAGCGGCGATCGTTGGCGGTATGGTTCTTTCTGGTATCTTTCGTCAGTTTGCGCATCTCGGTTCTTCCTCTCTACCCCTTGGGCAGTTGCTGGCTATGTGGTCTCCGGCGCAGCGGACACACTTCACTGGCCTGAAGCAATTTGTAGATGCGTGTCCGAAGGCCTGGCAGCGGTGGCACTGTGAAGGGCCCGCTCTTCCTTGCCAGGCCTCTATGACGACTCCTCTCATGTAGAGTAGCTCGTCTATCTGATAGAGTTCGTTAAGGCGCTCCAGGCTCAGGTGGTCCAGCTGCGCGAAGTAGAGGCATCCAGGTCTGTCTCTACGGGGGGGGATCCCTTTGACGTATCTAATCGGGAACCCCTTGGCCCTGATAGCCCCCTCTATCGCGGTTGGGTCCGTGCCTACTGGTAGCCCCCGAATGCCCACTTTCGTGGGCTTGTCCTCCTCGGGGGTGTAGCAGTACCAGGACATAGCTGGTACTTTCTCGGTCATCTCCATTAGGTATCTCTGTACCGTCCGGAATTCTTCCGGACTCTGGGGGGTAATTCTAACCCCCTTGCCGAATGGACGAGCATTCGGTGGGTGGCCCAGTTTCTTGTTAAGTGCCTCGAAGTGCTTCGTCCAGTCCGGTAAGCATTCTGCCACTATGGGTGGGTACCTTTTGGCCGATTCTTCCGGCGGTTTCGGAGTTTCGGCAGTCCTTGTCCTTGGTACTGCAGGGGCAGCTACCAGTTGGGCATAGCTGGTCGAAGGCCTCTGACCATCGTCTGATGGCCGGCCTGAAGGGTTGGTGGTAGGCGCGGATGGTGAGTGTCCGGCAGATGTGCTCGGTGCTAGGGTTGCATACGTGGTGGCACTCCATTCGTATGACCCTTCTCCTCCCTGCTCCAGATCAGCAGCATCCATACTGATGTGTTGTCCGGTGTTCCGGGGTGGGGTGGGTTTAGTCGTCGATGGCGATGTGGGTGGTGATCTCCTAATCGGCTTCCCTTCCGGTTGGTGATCCGATTCTCCCTCGGATGAAGAATAGTCCGAGGAGTTGGTAGAACTGAAGCATCGCCTCTTCTCCTGGAGGGATGCTGCTGTTTCTGGAGGCGTATGCCTTCTCAGGGTCTTCTTGGCCCGCTGGGGTTGGGGGAACGGTTCCCGCCCAGTCGTACCTCCAGGTACGATGGGTGAGAGCGCGGTCCTCGGTGCGGGCTCTTTGCCCGGTGAGGAGGGTTTCCGTGTCGGGATCTGAGAGTAGGAGGACACTACTCTAGTCCTTTCAGGATCGAAGATATTGCGGTACGCGATTGGACGGTCTAGTACACCAGGACGGTCGGGTGGTCTTCTGGGTTTGGGTTTAGGTGGGGGTTCCCCCTTGTCCTTATCGGACATGTTGAGAACCTACCTAAAGTCAGTCAGGTATTCTTTAAGGCCCTGTCTAATAATTGCCAGCCGATTCGGCACGAAGCGCGACGCGGATAGCAGGAGTGTAAATCGTATTGGCGTATTCACAAACTGGGCACTGCCTACCCCTTTTGTCAGCAAAAGGGTTGGGGGAAGTGCGACGGTGGCACTTTATGACGCGACTAGGCACAGGATGCTCGGAGCGCATAAAGTGCCCAAGAATCACCTAGGGGCCGGTGACCTCGACGCCTCACGGAATCACGGGACTCAACGTTCGGCGGAGTATGTCGTACCGGCGGTCGTTTGCAGCCACTGTTAACTACAAAAGACGCACACCTAGGAGATCCTTTACGATTTGCAAGAAAAATAAATTTACTGCACTACCTCGAAGCTAAACGCGAAAGTGAGCCGCGCCATTTGTGCGCTTGCGCAACTCAATTACATCAATTTGTACTATCACTCTCTCACGGTTTGCTCAATAACTTTATTTGTATAAGACATACATTTATACAATTTACTTATAAAGATAGCACAAAGAAATATCTATACTACGATATACATTACATTTGCATATCACAAAAAACCCTTTATTTATTTAACAAAATATGCTTATTTTACTCATATGTTCAAAGTTGGAATTTCTTAAATATTTAACATAGAAAGTTAAAACAATGTTTTCCACTTGAAATTATACATATCTTAACTAATACAATAGTTTAATTTACATTTTCTCTATACATTTCACTATTAAAACACTTTTAAATTTCTATCATTATTTCACTTATTCATAGAAATTTTCACATAAAATGACACAGAATTCACCTCTTTTACACGTACAATCAATCTGAAATGTTTTACAAGTCATTTTACATAAATTGCTGAAATTTGCAAATATTTAAATTTCTACGTATTTGGCCTCCTAAGTACGTAGCTAGCGTGCGTCTATGAACTCACACTATTTGAACAACTAACTTTTGCACGGCTATCGACTATTCGTAAAAATGGAAAGTTTAGTATACGCTAATTGGTGAATTATTCTACTCAATTCTCAAATGCCGAAAACTATTTCTAATCAGATTCTTATCAGTTATCATGTTTCTTATCAAACAATATAAGTGAATGTTTTCATAAATCAATCATAGAAAATAGGCATTTGTTTTCATACAAAACATATGAAACTCATATAAGACAATACTTATGCAATTAATTTCCATTAATTCTACTTATGCGCAGCGATCATCTCGACCGGGGAACAAATCCGGTTAATATTTTAATATTTTTTAATTTGGAAGATTATCCGGTACATAATTTATATCTTAAAATTCCCTATATGAATTTATTAAGAGATATTACTAAGAAAACGACTATTCCGGCCTGGGCGTCGAACCCAAGACCTTCATATCATTAATTCGATATTTCTTTAAGATTCAACTAAGCATTTTCTTATCGGAATATTGTTGCTTGATAATTTGTTTTTTAGAAGCTATTCGTAATCGGTTAACTAATAAATTGAAATATTCTTATAGGCGCGTCGCCAACAATATATATATATATATATATATATATATATATATATATATATATACATATATATACAATGTAATTATATTAACAAAACATACTTCTTATGAACTTAAAAATATGAATTATATAATTTATATGCAATAATTTAACATAATTTACCAAAATAATTAATCTCTAAGTTCCGAGTAAAACTAAAAATAAAATTTTCTGAAAACGTGTGTCAGTTTAGCGATCCTAAGAAGTAATGAAACGTGCTCACAAATAAAACAATCATACTTAATGAGGATGTAGTACATCAGATGCGTCAAGCGGTCGCTTCACCATAAATCTATGCTATGTTATAAACACACGAGCTGTCTAAATGATAAACGTATTTAATGCATTTGTAATTATCCCTTATTTTGATTATTGCTATATGCATAAAAATCTATAAAAATCTTCATGTTCTGAATATTATTATTGTATTAATATGAATTGCACTAGTGCTAATATATACATATAAAAGAAATTGAAGGGTCTGTCTGTAATATCGAAACAACTGAGGGCTAATTTCAATCCAGAAGATGGATGGATGCTGCCATCTGCTTGGGATCACACTGCAAGACTTCATGGTATTGTAAGCTCGTATTGCGTAGATCGGACCAAAAATTAATATTCAAAAACTGAAAGAAGCCGGACTAACTATGCCATTGGGGCGTCGAACATCTCAGTCCCCAGAATAAAACAATATTCAACTTATTTTATAAGATTTATTTTTTAATAAACATTTTTTTTTTATTTTTTACCAAAAAATTTATCTTCACACTTTTCATATTTTTATAACAAGCATTTTACTAAATGACATATTTTTATTTCCTTCCCTTGTTTCTATTAAAAAGGACCACAGTAGCTCCATTTCTCTATTCTTTTATATCTCCATTTCTTTATAAAAAAATAAAGAAATGCAAAGCATCAAATGAAACCCAAAAGGTGCCAAAATAAACCCGAAAATTAAATTTTGTGCAAGAAGATAATTAAAAAAGGGGAGTCATTCGATATTCATAATTAACCTTGGCCCGGGCAATCTATTTTCAAAATCCCCACGTAATACCAATCCCCAACCAACTTTATTTTCCCCGTAATTTGAGGATTTCCCCACATATTGGCATTTTAAATAGCAAGGCAATACGTGTGGACCGGGCAGCGGCAGCGCGTGTAATAAAGGGAAGGGTAGAGTAAGCGAAGCACAGTAATACCTATGTATTGTTTAGTACCGAGCTAAATAAAAAAGTTCAGCGTCCGCGCGTTTATTGCCCTCTAATCAGCTGGTACCATTGTAATTTTCACTGCTGGATTTATTTTTTAGTATTTTCATGAATTTTTTTATGAAATCATTGTTTCATTTATCTGTACTAACATGATGGCGTGAGTAAAGCTAATAAAACGTTGTGAAAGGATGAATATATCTTTAGTACTATCGTCTGTCTTCGTTTTCGGGAGCGTTTCAAAAATACCCTGTATAACATTGCTTGTTATCTTGCAATACTTGCTTGATGTGCTGAAGCTCGGCGGCCAGATGTTTTCTGTCACAGCTCCCTCGTGCTCTCTGAAACAAAGATTAACCCACGGTAGCTAACTGTGAAGGATGAAGGTGAGATTCACCATTTAGATATCGGTTGGTATGGGTCTTTTTCCTATAAATAGTGTGACTAAAAGTGTTATCAGGATTTTGGATGACTATAACATCTAGGAAGGCTAAAGAGTTATTTGCCTCTAACTCTATTTTGAATTGTATTTTTGAGTTTATGGAGTTAAGATGGTCTAAAAATGCAATTACTTTGTCAGATGGTAAAATTGTGAAAGTATTGTCTACTTACCGCTTATAGAACCTCGAAGACTTTCATGAATATATCGGCGACAATGGGAGATAAAGGTGAGCCCATCGCAACACCATCTACTTGCTTGTAAAACTCTTCCTTTCACAATAGATAGCTAGATGTAAGGCAATGTCTTAGTAGTACTGCAAATTCTGGTGGCATGTTAGCTTCGGTGCTGCTGGAAGTGCTGCCCCTTCGCCCTTGCGTAGCGAATCGCGGTCACCCATGCTCACCTCACGTTCGGATTATTACATACAGCCTCAGCACTGCGGCTTGCACGGGTAACTGCAATTTGCTTTGGCAGGGGTGGGAGGTAGCCTCCACGCCTACGGACTTACAAAAACACTATAGGGGTAGGGCAAGCAAGACTACGTGGAGTCGGGGCGTACTAATTCTGTTTTAGAACCTGTCGAAATGATTCGACCAAACATCTAATTAGCCGTATTTTCGCGATTACCATTGATGTTTTCCGAAAATTCGATTTATCTTATTATTATGCTACGACCATATATAAACTACATATAATTATATTTAATTATGACAATGAATGTTGTAAAAAAAGTATGTATCAAATAATTGTTTTACAATTACTTATATATACAATTAATTGTATTTCTTGTTGAAGGTAATTTGACATTTTATGAAGATAGATAAGATTTAAGTGTCTTTATAATAAAAATACTACTTTTATAACAAAAATAAATTTGTCTCTCAGTTACTTTTATATTGCCATTAAGTAATAAATTCATGATTAGTTGATAACTAACTAATTGTTGCATATTTTTTAATATAGTGACTTGTATATGCTTGTATACTTTACTAATACTTGTTACGCGTTTACATCCTAATTGTTTACAATATCAGAACATGGCCGTTCTAGCCTTATATAATCTCTTAACTAATTTACTAAATCAGCGTTAGAAAGTATACGCGACTAGTACGCAGAAATCATGTATATTTTCTGAAAATTTTATTTGGTACACATTCTGAAAACATACAGTGTAAGAACACTATGAATGTGTGCTGTCCTTATGTACTTTCAATATACGCGTCGGCGTTCGGCGTGGTGCGTTTCTGATCCTTTTTCAGCTGGTTTCAGGTAAGTATTGAAGAAATATCTTTTCATTTAGCTGTACAAACATGATAGAGCGTGAATAAATCTAATTAAACGTTGTAAAAATATGTTTTTTCATCAGAATCGATTTTTTTTTATTTCATCATCAAATTTAACCTTAATACTATCGTCTGTCTTCGTTTTCGGGAGCGTTTCAAAAATACCCCGTATTATAATAAAAGAATAATAATATATTACTATTTTCTTTAAAATTAAGGAATAAGTCTTTAAACATATTTAACATTTACATTGTAAAATGCGTAACGTATAGATATTATCTTGTTATTGACGCATCTTTAAATGAAAAAGAATCTGAACGTAATATGTGGCGTTATATTAAACGTACAAAAACGAAAGCTGCTTCACTCTTTGATTAAGGAAAATTGGGTTGGAAGAAAATTGTACACGCATTGAAAAGATGTTATCTCATTTGTGAAATGTGTTTATAATTTTCTTCCGGTAATTACGGTTTATTGGTTTCTATATCATTTTAT